CTATGAAAAAGGTACCAGGGGCATCTCATGGGGCCCCCTACTGACCCCGGGCAGTGCCCGAGTTTCCAAATGTCTGCCCCTGGACACTAATTGATATTCCTATTCTCCAACGATAGTCCATACACATCCACTATTTAAAGTGGTTGTAAACCCTCACATATATCAGGTGATACAGAGATGAAACAAATCATCTTATGTAAATTGTTCCTGTCTATCTACAGCAATCTTTCCTCCAAATCCATTCAAAGTGCAGAATTTATATATGATCTTTAAGCGCTGAAAAGCAGGGTCGGGGAGCTGAAGTTACACTCGGTGAGGAGAGCTCTGAGACCTGATTGAGGGAAGAGACACACACCCCCTTTACACAGCTCACAGGAACAGAGCTGAGGCTGTCAACCAAAGGTTGTGCCCTCCCCTGTCACCATTTTTCTCTTGGTGTCAGGAAAACTTGTCTGAAGTGACTTATGATAGCAGAGGAATAAGGCAGCAGACAGAAATGACAAATGACTGGTCACACCGGTGCGATTTGCAAATTGAAATCGCACCTAATGAATGTGAATGTCAGTGTCTTAACATGTGCAATTTGCCGCAGCGCGATTTCTTGCATTACTTTTTTCGTTCAGTTGTTATGATTTCACATACATAGAATATAATGGAAATCACACTGAAAATTGCAAGAAATTGTTGAAAATCTTCACAAGTAGCAATAGCGTCTTCAGAAATCGCACCTGAAATCACGCTGAAATTGAAAACAAACTGCGCAATTTTAATTCGCGGCGGTGTGACTGATGACTTAGTGCTCCGGACTGAGACAAGTATAGAGGGATATGTTTTGTTCATATTTCATGTCTGAGACTTTCAACCACTTTAATGGTCTGGTAAGCTATTTGTCATGAAATAGTTTCCTACTGTGTTTTTTGCCCCCTTGTAATGTCCTCTGTGAGTTCTTGAACCTCTCCTTTCCCCCCTCACTTCTGCTTGGTCATGTACATTGCTCCATGCACGCTGCAAAATTCCAAACTCCATTTTGGTAGTGGGCAAGAGAGGGTGGCTACATTCCTACATACAGTGGGACCATGGAGAACAAAATGTAGCCACCCCCTAACAGGAAGTCAGATCACCGCAGAAAAAAAAGGAAGATACTTTTCTGAGTTAAGAATATATACTGAAATAGATTTTTTTTTTAAATCAGCATTTTTTGTCAGTTTAAAGTAGAACTATAAGCAAACAAATGTTTTTTTTTTCCATTTTGGTTAGAGTAAGGGGGGGGGGGGGGGTTATATCTTCTGTTGGTTCATTTTTTTCCATCTGTGTCCCATTGGGGAGATTTCCCTTCATTTCCTGTCCCATAGCCAAACAGGAAGTGAGAGAAAATCCCTGCAAATTAACCACTTGCCTTCCGCCCTATAGCAGAAGTAGTGCTACGGGGCAGCAGGGCTGCGCAAATTCATGTGTATATATACACGTGATTTGCATTTCCGGGTAGGGGGTGCATGTCGTGCTACCCACGCCTCCATTGGTGGCTAGAGATGTCAATCACAGGGGTCCCGGATGGCGATTCCTGGCTGGCACTCGGAGATCATCAGGGAAAGCTGAGAGGGGGGAGATCTGTGTGTAAACAACACAGTCTCTCCTGTCAACATGGACATGCTGTTTTGTATATCTCTGCACAGCAGACATACAAAGCAGCATGTCTCCCAAGTAAAACACACACACACAGGGCACACTATTAACCCTTTGAGCTCCCCAGATGTTAACCCCTTCCTGCCCAGTGCCATTAGTGCAGTGTCAGTGCTTTTTATTAGCACTAACTGTATTAGTGTCATTGGTATATCAGTGGCAGTTAGTTTCCACCCAGTGTCAGAATGCCAGCCGCAGTCCCGCTATAAGTCGTTGATCGCCGCCATTACTAGTATTAAAAGAATAAATAAAATTCCCAGTAAATATACCGCCATTTGTAGACGCTATAACGTTCACGTAAAACCTATTCATTTGCATGTGTTGGGATTTTTTTTTTTTTAGCAGACATGTCGCAGAATACATTTTGGCCTAAATTTATGACAGAATTTGATTTTTTTTTCTTGGATATGTTTTATAGCAAAAAGTCATAAATATTGGGGTGTTTTTTTTTTTTTTTTTAAATTGTCAGTCTTTTTGTTTATAAAAAACAGATATGTGATCAAATACCAACGAAAGAAAGCTCCATTTGTGGGGAAAAAAAGGGACATAAATTTATGTACAGCGTTGCATGACCACGCAATTGTCATTTAAAGTAATGCAGCGCCGTATCACAAAAAATGACCTGGTCAGGAAGGGGGGGTTAAATCCTCTGGAGGGCAAGTGGTTAAAGTAATGTAGTGCCGTATCGCAAAAAAATGGCCTGGTCAGGAAGGGGGATAAATCCTCCGGAGGGGGGGTGGTTAAAGTAATGCAGCGCCGTATCACAAAAAATGGTCTGGTCAGGAAGGGGGGTAAATCCTTTGGGGGGGGGGGGTGCTTAAAGTAATGTAGCGCCGTATCACAAAAAAATCACCTGGTCAGGATAGGGGGGTAAATCCTCTGGAGGGCAAGTGGTTAAGGGAATACCTTGGGGTCCCCCAGGTGATCAGAACTAGTGTCCCTATTGGAAGATTTCCCCTCTATTACTGTTCTGTGGACATCCCAACATTTGGGATTAGAGATGAGCGAAGTATTCAAAAATTCGATTCGGCTGATTCGGCGAATTCGCGGAATAAAGTCGAATATATTCGCTGCGAATTTAACTTATAAAAAGGGTGTTTCTAGGCTTCAGAGAGCCTCTATATTAGTGCAGAACACTGTACCTTTAATTTAAATGCCCTTGGAGTCTGCTGGGGAAGAGAAATAATACTGACAGTCAGTATGACATGCAGATGAGTGCCGTCGATCTTAGAATCACCGCACACTTCACTCATTTGGGCAGTCACGGGGGCAAAACCAGAGTGTGGAGCCACAGTGTGGCGGTGGAGGCAGCAGCAATGGGAGGCCATACAGCACCCTATGACAAAATGGAACCCACCAGCAGTGTGAGGAGACCTGAAAGTGGCACATGGCAGAGTGTGGCGATGGAGACAGCAGCAATGGGAGGCCGTACAGGGACCCATGACACACTCTGGACCTGGCAGCAGCATGAGGAGGCGGTACAGGGGCCCATGACAGATTACAGGCCTGGCAGCAGCATGAGGAGTCGGTACGGGGGCCCATGGCAGATTACGGGCCTGGCAGCAGCAATGGGAGGCCCGTAATCTGCCAGCACCCTATGACAAAATGGAATCCACCAGCAGTGTGAGGAGACCTGAAAGAGGCACATGGCAGAGTGTGGCGATGGAGACAGCAGCAATGGGAGGCCGTACAGGGACCCATGACCCACTCTGGACCTGGCAGCAGCATGAGGAGGCGGTACAAGGGCCCATGACAGATTACGGGCCTGGCAGCAGCATGAGGAGTCGGTACGGGGGCCCATGGCAGATTACGGGCCTGGCAGCAGCAATGGGAGGCCGTACAGGGACCCATGACACACTCTGGACCTGGCAGCAGCATGAGGAGGCGGTACAGGGGCCCATGACAGATTACGGGCCTGGCAGCAGCATGAGGAGTCGGTACGGGGGCCCATGGCAGATTACGGGCCTGGCAGCAGCAATGGGAGGCCCGTAATCTGCCAGCACCCTATCACAAAATGGAACCCACCAGCAGTGTGAGGAGACCTGAAAGTGGCACATGGCAGAGTGTGGCGATGGAGACAGCAGCAATGGGAGGCCGTACAGGGACCCATGACACACTCTGGACCTGGCAGCAGCATGAGGAGGCGGTACAGGGGCCCATGACAGATTACGGGCCTGGCAGCAGCATGAGGAGTCGGTACGGGGGCCCATGGCAGATTACGGGCCTGGCAGCAGCAATGGGAGGCCCGTAATCTGCCAGCACCCTATGACAAAATGGAACCCACCAGCAGTGTGAGGAGACATGAAAGTGGCACATGGCAGAGTGTGGCGATGGAGACAGCAGCAATGGGAGGCCGTACAGGGACCCATGACACACTCTGGACCTGGCAGCAGCATGAGGAGGCGGTACAGGGGCCCATGACAGATTACGGGCCTGGCAGCAGCAATGGGAGGCCCGTAATCTGCCAGCACCCTATGACAAAATGGAACCCACCAGCAGTGTGAGGAGACATGAAAGTGGCACATGGCAGAGTGTGGCGATGGAGACAGCAGCAATGGGAGGCCGTACAGGGACCCATGACACACTCTGGACCTGGCAGCAGCATGAGGAGGCGGTACAGGGGCCCATGACAGATTACGGGCCTGGCAGCAGCAATGGGAGGCCCGTAATCTGCCAGCACCCTATCACAAAATGGAACCCACCAGCAGTGTGAGGAGACCTGAAAGTGGCACATGGCAGAGTGTGGCGATGGAGACAGCAGCAATGGGAGGCCGTACAGGGACCCATGACACACTCTGGACCTGGCAGCAGCATGAGGAGGCGGTACAGGGGCCCATGACAGATTACGGGCCTGGCAGCAGCATGAGGAGTCGGTACGAGGGCCCATGGCAGATTACGGGCCTGGCAGCAGCAATGGGAGGCCCGTAATCTGCCAGCACCCTATGACAAAATGGAACCCACCAGCAGTGTGAGGAGACATGAAAGTGGCACATGGCAGAGTGTGGCGATGGAGACAGCAGCAATGGGAGGCCGTACAGGGACCCATGACACACTCTGGACCTGGCAGCAGCATGAGGAGGCGGTACAGGGGCCCATGACAGATTACGGGCCTGGCAGCAGCAATGGGAGGCCCATAATCTGCCAGCACCCTATGACAAAATGGAACCCACCAGCAGTGTGAGGAGACCTGAAAGTGGCACATGGCAGAGTGTGGCGATGGAGACAGCAGCAATGGGAGGCCGTACAGGGACCCATGACACACTCTGGACCTGGCAGCAGCATGAGGAGGCGATACAGGGGCCCATGACAGATTACGGGCCTGGCAGCAGCATGAGGAGTCGGTACGGGGGCCCATGGCAGATTACGGGCCTGGCAGCAGCAATGGGAGGCCCGTAATCTGCCAGCACCCTATGACAAAATGGAATCCACCAGCAGTGTGAGGAGACCTGAAAGTGGCACATGGCAGAGTGTGGCGATGGAGACAGCAGCAATGGGAGGCCGTACAGGGACCCATGACACACTCTGGACCTGGCAGCAGCATGAGGAGGCGGTACAGGGGCCCATGACAGATTACGGGCCTGGCAGCAGCATGAGGAGTCGGTACGGGGGCCCATGGCAGATTACGGGCCTGGCAGCAGCAATGGGAGGCCGTACAGGGACCCATGACACACTCTGGACCTGGCAGCAGCATGAGGAGGCGGTACAGGGGCCCATGACAGATTATGGGCCTGGCAGCAGCAATGGGAGGCCCGTAATCTGCCAGCACCCTATGACAAAATGGAATCCACCAGCAGTGTGAGGAGACCTGAAAGTGGCACATGGCAGAGTGTGGCGATGGAGACAGCAGCAATGGGAGGCCGTACAGGGACCCATGACACACTCTGGACCTGGCAGCAGCATGAGGAGGCGGTACAGGGGCCCATGGCAGATTACGGGCCTGGCAGCAGCAATGGGAGGCCCGTAATCTGCCAGCACCCTATGACAAAAAATGGAACACACCAGCAGTGTGAGGAGACCTGAAAGTGGCACATGTTTGGGGCATGATTCATGGCGGATTTAGTCAGTTGTGTCAGGAACTGTTGGTTTGAAATCCAGACTAATCCACGCCTGATTCATTTTCACAAACGTGAGTCTCTCCACACTTTGGGTGGACAGTCGTGTCCTCCGCGGAGTTACAATACCTCCTGCCGCACTAAACACGCGCAGATGACGACGAGGCTGCCAAGTGCGATCAGCCTCATCATCATCAATTAGGGTCTCCGCCTCACTACTAGCCCCCTCGGCTGCGTGTGGGTCAGGAGACAGACCTGTCTCTAGACCGGCTACCGAGCCACTCTCCTCGCCAGTACTTCTTCGCCTGGCTGCTGAAGAGGCGGATGTCTCCCCCCGTTCCTGACCGCCCTCTGTAGCTCTTCCTCACTGTACAGTGGGGCTGAGCCCACAGCATGCGATACTTCGCTTGGTGAGGGAACACCAAAGGACAGGGGCAGGTAGAGGACACGTGATTTCACTGGGCTTGCTCCCGGGCCATGCCAACTAACGGTTGTGTCTGACGTACCCACCGACCGTTGGCTGTAGGTGTCAGAGGTGACCTGGGAAGAGGAAGACGACCAAGCCAACCAATCGATGACGGCAGGGTTGTCGGTGGAGACACGACCGCTGGATGACACCGGGAGCACTGGCCTCTGGCTGCGACTAGTGCTGCCTCGACCCCTTCCTCTGCTGCCACGTCTGCTCACTCCTGAAACATTGCCTCCTCTGCCACTCCTCTGCGTGTTGTCTGACATACTCTTTAATTCAACGATTCTGTGTCCCTGAGTAACGATCCTGTGTCCCTGAGTAACGATCCTGTGTCCATGAGTAACGATTCTGTGTCCCTGAGTAACGATTCTGTGTCCCTGAGTAACGATTCTGTGTCCCTGAGTAACGATTCTGTGTCCCTCAGTAACGATTCTGTGTCCCTCAGTAACGATTCTGTGTCCCTCAGTAACGATTCTGTGTCCCTGAGTAACGATTCTGTGTCCCTCAGTAACGATTCTGTGTCCCTCAGTAACGATTCTGTGTCCCTCAGTAACGATTCTGTGTCCCTCAGTAACGATTCTGTGTCCCTCAGTAACGATTCTGTGTCCCTGAGTAACGATTCTGTGTCCCTCAGTAACGATTCTGTGTCCCTCAGTAACGATTCTGTGTCCCACAGTAACTATTCTGTGTCCCTCAGTAACGATTCTGTGTCCCTCAGTAACGATTCTGTGTCCCTCAGTAACGATTCTGTGTCCCTCAGTAACGATTCTGTGTCCCTCAGTAACGATTCTCTGTCCCTGAGTAACGATTCTCTGTCCCTGAGTAACGATTCTCTGTCCCTGAGTAACGATTCTCTGTCCCTGAGTAACGATTCTCTGTCCCTGAGTAACGATTCTCTGTCCCTGAGTAACGATTCTCTGTCCTTCAGTAACGATTCTGTGTCCCTCAGTAACGATTCTGTGTCCCTCAGTAACGATTCTGTGTCCCTCAGTAACGATTCTGTGTCCCTGAGTAACAATTCTGTGTCTGTCCCTGAGTAACAATTCTGTATCCCTGAGTAACAATTCTGTGTCCCTGAGTAACAATTCTGTGTCCCCGAGTAACAATTCTGTGTCCCCGAGTAACAATTCTGTGTCCCTGAGTAACGATTCTGTGTCCCTGAGTAACGATTCTGTGTCCCTAAGTAACGATTCTGTGTCCCTAAGTAACGATTCTGTGGCCCTAAAGTCTCTGAGGCCCTAACTCTGTCCCTAATACAGAGAGGTCTGTCTCTCTTGAATGACCGGAGGCTAATGGAGAATTCTAAGATGGCCGCGATTTATAGCTCCACCATTACACAGTGCTGGCTGGCTGGCTGGCTGCTGATTGGCTAATGCGATCACATGTCATGAATGAATGCATTATGGGTCTGCGCGCCTTGTCTGCGCGCCTTCCCAGAGATCCCCGCTCCGTCGCCACACATGTCGCCGCCATTTTTGGGAAAATTCGATTCGTGCATCCGAAGTTGGCTAATTTTCGGATTCGGCGCGAATCGAATATTTCCCAATCTTCGAAACGAATTCCACTTCGCCATGTTCGATTCGCTCATCTCTATTTGGGATTTTCTTTTAATTTCACTTTCAATGATAATGGTAAACAGGAGAAATAGAGAGGGGGGATTTCCATAATGGGGGCACAGAGAGCAATAAAAACTGACAGGGGTTCTAATTCACCTCCACTCTATCCAAAACGAAAGAAACCGTTTTGCCTATCCTTACATATCAAGCAGACCACATTCATCATCATTGTTGCTCATCGCAGACTAATGTCATAACCAGAGCCCTCCAGGCTGATGACACACTGCTCATTCAGACCAAGCCGTACAATAAAACATCTGTGTGCTGGTGTACATAGCTTACTGAAGCGTGACACGTTGGCACTTCATGCTAGTCTATGTGTTGCGACACATTTTGGTGCGGCGAGTTGCGTCGCTGTGCTGCTCAATGGATATGGTGCAAACAACCCCAACAAGCTGTAGGGGCTTTGAGCTGTACAGAGTTTTGAACACTTGCTGGATTTTACATGATGAGCCCTATGGAGGAGTCAGGTGATGCCAACGTCTGCCTGTCATATGGTGTCATAAAATGTAATAAAATAATGAACATGTAGAGAAAGCACATGACACTCCAGGCTGAGTACACAGAGATAAGGAGAGCCAGGATAGTGGGATCCGGACAGCAAACAAAACCCAATATGAAACATAGTACACAGGACACTGACATGACGGATCTCACTTCTCCTTTCATGATCACAGTGGTGACAGCATATTCCTGATCGGCTACTGGAAGTTATATCATCGATCAAGGCACCATATTAAAAAAACTCCACAAAGTAACATGATTAAATCAATCGGATTAAACAAAGCCCTCGGCAATAAACCCACTTAGGTAGACAAGGTCTTGGTACACAGTGGGGTTCCAAAATGCTACGCTTTTAGGGCCAGTTCACACTACATGTGTTTTAGTGTGCTTTTTTTCTGCATCTAAAACGCACAGAAAGTAGGTTATATGGGTGTCAATGTCATAGTTCACATCAATGCTTGTAGTTCCAGTGCATTCCGGTTGCAGAAAAAAAAAAAAAAAGTAGAACATGCTGCATTTTTTCTGCACAGATCTGTACTAGAGAGCGGTAAAACGCTTCAAAACTGCACTGGAATGCACATGTCCCTATTTAAATTGAAGAAAAGAGAGGGGAAAAAATTAACTGGAATGCATAAAAACCGCACTGGAATGCTTCAAAAACGCATCAAAAACGTGCAGGCTGAAACGCATCTGGACTGTTTTTATAGTGTGAACCGGTCCTCGGGCTTTTTATTTATTTATTTTTTTTTACAGATCTGAATGCATGGACTTGTACACACAGGCACACACAACTACCAGCAAACTGACACTGCGTTGATATCTGTAAGGAAAAAAAAAAAAGGACAAATATCGGTGTTACTGGTCAGTATTTTGTGTATATTTGGCATTATGGGAGGCAGAAGAATTTTTTCCGCATGTAAACACGTGCACTATAAGGACCACACCCACACTTGCCGGGAACATCCGGCGTTCATACATCTGTGCCGTGTACAAGGACTCTAAAGGATGTACAGGCTGCTCACTTTGCATGTTGGTAAATAGGGTGCAGCTGTGTACACTCTGAACACCCAATTACAAGCTAGAGAAACTCCTGGTTCCCCCCCCCCCCCATTTTCCTGGCGTGTGATTGGCTATTCAAAATGAATAGTTTCACTTTTGTTTACTAACATTCGCTCTGCAAAGTAAACCTTCACAATGGTAGGTGAAAAGCCACTGATGCTTTAGGCTCATTCACAGCAGAAGTTGTGCATTTATACTCTGAAGGGCGACACATTGCACCCTTTACATTTTTTTTCTTTTTTTAAACAAAAGCGGAGCTTGAAGTAGAATTCCAGGCTAAATCTAGCAAATCTTAAAGTGTTACTAAACCCCAGACCCTGCATTCACTATATCTGCTCTCCCCAGACCCCGCATTCACTATATCCGCTCTCCTCGGACCCCGCATTCCCTATATCCGCTCTCCCCGGACCCCGAATTCACTGTATCCGCTCTCCCCGGACCCCGCATTCACTGTATCCGCTCTCCCCGGACCCTGCATTCACTGTATCCGCTCTCCCCGGACCCTGCATTCACTATATCCGCTCTCCCCGGACCCTGCATTCACTGTATCCGCTCTCCCCGGACCCCGCATTCACTGTATCCCGCTCTCCCCGGACCCCGCATTCACTATATCCGCTCTCCCCGGACCCTGCATTCACTATATCCGGTCTCCCCAGACCCTGCATTCACTATATCCGGTCTCCCCAGATTCTGCATTCACTATATCTGCTCTGCCCAGACCCTGAATTCACTATATCCGGTCTCCCCGGACCCTGCATTCACTATATCTGTTCTCCCACGGTACACACAACATGGAAATGCAATTATTTTAGTAGATATAAACTGTTAAATACCTTTTCACATCAGCAGAATACAGCAGTCTTGTGACTTCTATCAGTGTTCAGCAGAGCACTGGTTAAAGCTTGTAGGAGGAGTTATCATTCTCCCCTGATTGTCCTATGAGGCTGCAAGATCCCTGCCCTTCTATCTGGACAGCGCCAATTGGCCCTGTGCTAATCACATGCATTCTCCCAAGAAAAAAAAAAATACTCTAGCTATACACACCAAACTGAATATGTGCAGCGTGCTCCCAAGGCTATGTTCTATCAGCAGATAAATTGGGGACTGTGGAAGAAGGGGAGGATCAGAGAAGACAGGATCAAACAGCCTTTTTACACAATGTAGATGATTAACCCCCTTAGGTTCCACAGTGAGTAGAACAAGCATGCTTTACTGCATATACA